TTTCCATTTCTGTGTAATCTGTTCACTTGACAGATATTTACTGAATGCCTACCATGTGCCATGGATTGTTCCAGGTGCCGGAGCTGCAGGAGAGAACAAAACAGAGTCCCTGCTTTCATGGAGCTTACATTTTACTAGGGATGGAGAGGAGGCAGACAGCGAAGAAAATGCTAGACAGTGACAAGAGCTAAGCAAAAAAGGGCAGAGAGAATGAATGGAAAATGTGTACGTGCTCTTTTCCATAGGGATACCCTAGGAGGGCCTGTTAGGTAGTACTTGAGCAGATACTGAAACGCAGAGTAGGCTATGGCTTCAGATGATCTGGAGAGAATAATAGAACCTACCCAAGAGAGGTATAATGAGGACTATGTGATATTAAGGATATAAAATCTAGCACCTGGCACATAGGAAGCACTCAACAGATGGTGGCTATAATTATTTTTATTTGACGTAAGTCATGTTTGAATAAAATTCATTAGAAAAATTGAATTCATCACATCACCTTCATTTTGGGAAGGTTATGACAAGTCACAGCTTGGGAGCTCATAACTTCTAGACTCTATATTTATAATAGGTAAAAATGCCTATTTCAACCTGGCCTAGGTTCCCAGGGCACTGGCAGCTGATAATAATGAGAAAAATAATACCTGCAGTCTCATCCTACAGGGAGAAGTATGCTAAGTGTGATTTCTCACCACCCAACTTCCATTTCAGGCTGATTAAGTCACTTTAACGGTGAGTTCCCATTACCTAGAAAGAGCTCTGAGGGTCTGTTACTCCTGGGCAGTGGGAGATTGGGGAAGAATGGCATGGAGGGTCTTGTGAAGTAAAACTGCATAGAGACCTCAAGCCCTTTGTTTCTCCACTGCTGAGGTCAGAGATCTGGAAAGCCATGTATAAGTGTGTGTATGTGTGTGTGGTGGGGGGAGGGGACAGTGGTAGGGGGGAGTCATGGTGGGAGGGAGGGAGAGGAAGAGAAGGAGAGGAAGGGAGGGAGGGAGGGAGGGAGAGAGAGAGAGATAGATAGATATCAATCGATTGATCCCCTGACCTGGAATAATAATGGCACTAATTATTAAGACAAACATTTCAAATGCCCAATTGTATATGTCTAAGAGCCCTAACTCTTGATTTTTAGTCCCAGTCCTGGAATAACCAGTTGAGGGATACTGGGTAAGTCATTTTCCCTCTCTGAGGCTGCATCGGACTGAAGGGCTCAGATCCCAGACCAAAGTAGATTAAGGCTTGGTTCTCAGCCCTGCATGATCTTGGGTATGCTACTTAACTGCTTGGAGCCTCATCTGTTAAATGAGCTTTTTAACACCCTTTGAGATAGCTAATGCAGATATAGAGTGCAGCATGGTGCACGGGATATGACAAATGATCAATAAATGCTGCAGACCAGCATTTTCACCTGCTAAATACCTATCCTGCCCTCCTCACTGGCTATTCTGAAGATGAATCAAGGGACTAGGTAAGAAAATGCTTTGCAATATAAATGGTACTTTACAACTGTAAGGTGTTATTATTAAATTATCACCATGATTATTGCTTTATGTTATGATATTGAGCAGGGGATATAGTTTTCATAGACATGCTTCTCATAGGCTCTTTTGGTAACGAGATTGATTTTGAAAGGCTGTCTTACATGAAAGATACAGTCACATTCTTGCTTTGAAAAGCTGAGTCTCTCAGCACTGAAACAGAACAGGCACATTACACAGTGAGGATTAATTAGCTGTCGGGCATTATTAAATGTTCTCACTCTCAATACCCACATAGAACTGGAAACTATGAAAGTGAGCAAGAAGTAATCATAGTACAGGGAAGGGAAAAAAAGACACAATTGCTGGCAATGCATATTTCAAGAGGTAAATTATAGTCTGATTAATATCACGTCAGCTCATTCTCTGTTTGGAGTCATTGTTCTGAATCTAGTCTTCAGGGTTGCCTGCTTTTTTTTTTTTCTTCTTCTACCACTGGGATCAAAAATAAAAGGAAGCTGGACTTTTCAGTGTTTAAAGAGTGCTGTGGTGTGGATGTTTACACTGAAATGCAGGATATTTGAGAACCTAGGAAAGGAGAGGAGGTAAATACAGATACTGATATTTATAATCATATAGCAAATATAACATGTCTCTCCAGATTATTTGAGAATTTTCAATTCTCAAATAATTGAAAAATAACAAAGGTTCATAAAAATGATAGCTCGAATGTGTCCTAGGGATGCTGGAGTCCAGTGACAGCAGACCCCCCTTGTCTCAGCCACCAGGGGCAAGTGTTGAAAATGCAGATTCCTTTGGACCTCCTCTCTGGAATGGGTCTCGGGAATCTGCATTTCCCGGTCCTCTGCTTGGCAGCTTAGAAACTAAGCTTAGAGGGAAGAAGGATGATTCATCAGTTAGTTTACACAGCTGGTTAGTAAGAAAGCGAGAACCAGAGCTGGAATTTTCCAACTCTCAGCCACACCTCAGGGCCTCCTTCTCTGTTTCATCTGAAGTCCACTTCATTGGCATCACTGGCTTGGCATGGGGAGGATCTCTGCTCTCGTGGAAACTGAATAGGCCTTCTCTGCTTTTTATCATAGGGATGGAATTCTCCCAGGGTTAAGCACAGATATATGAAATCCCATAGGATGCCATGGACAGTAGGATTCCACAGTGGGGTTTACAGATGGCATCTGAGAAATTCCATCCACATAACAAATAAGGGCAAGGTAAAGTCTGGGCATTAAGTTCTTGGTATAAACTCTAAGTGGCACTTAATCCAGTTGTTTTCCCCATAAGATTACCATGTCTCAAGGGGCAAAAGACAGTCTTATTCCTGCTATATTGCCAGTACGGTGTTTGCCACTTAGTAAATATTGGTGAGTAGTTTGTAGAATAAATACAGCAGTATAAAAAGTATAAAAAGAAAAACAACTGAATTGTCTCATATTAATAAGCCCACTATCAGTAGGCGGTAGTAATAGCCATGGTGATGATGATGTTATTAATACTAAAATAACAGCAGGAAACTAACATTATTGAGTGCTTTTTGTGAGCCAGCACTACACAGGTTAAGCTCTTTCTTACACAAAATAACTTATTGAATCCTCACAACAATACCAGGAAGCAGTGACTATCATCATCCCTGTTATACAGATGAGACTTTGGAGGCACAAGGTGTTCAAATATAGCCACGTGCCACATGATGTTTTGGTCAATAACATTGGTTCCATAAGATTATAATACCGTATTTGTATTGTGCCTTTTCCATGTTTAGATATGTTTATATACACAAATACCATTGTGTTATAATTGCTTGCAGTATTCAACACAGGAACATGTGTACAGGTTTGTAGCTGAGGAGCAACAGGCTATACAATGTAGTCTAGGTCTGTAGTAAGCTATACCATCTAGGTTTGCATAAGCATACTCTGTGATGTTTTCACAACAATGAAGTCACCCAACAATGCATTTCTCAGAATATATTCCCATCATTAAATGATACATGACTGTAAAATGCCCAAGGTCACTATTGGAAAGTAATGGAGCCAGAATTCTAACCCAGACTGGACTGACTCAACAATAATACTCTTCACTACTGTACTTTCCAGCCTCCAAAACCCCTGCACATTCAGAGCATCAAGGTTGGGTTTATGCCAAGTCCACCCAGTCTGATAAAGTGGACTTGAATGGTGGTTCTTCAGAGTTGAAGGCATAGGCTGATGAGAGGAAAGAGAGTCACCAATGCTTGTGAGCTCAGAAGCAGCTCAATTGAAGACCATGTACCCATTAGTACAGGGTAAACACCTAATAGCCTAGCACGGTGGTCAGCAGAGAGTCTATATTCAAAAAGTAACTGCTGAATAAGCAGATGTATGAATAAATGAATTATTAAACAAATAAACAAGTGAGCTAATCAAGCATACAATGACCATCTCATTTTGACTTTCAAACATAGGACAAGAACCTCTTTTCCTCACATCTGCTTCACTGTCTCCCTTCTTGCTTTTGGTCTTTAGCAGAGTTGCTGGTGTCTGAAATCACATATTTTACACAGTTTTACAAGTCCGTTGGGGCTAGGGCTATCCTAACATGTGCCTGCTTTACTGCTCACATTGAACGTGTTCATAACTGAGCTCATCATCCAGTCCTAACCCACTTTACCTTACATCTAGAGACCCTTCCCTTAAAAATTCCCTTTGAGAAATCCATTTTTAATGCCACTTTCCTATTTGAACTTTTCTGGTCTCCAACAACCACAGATAATTTCTTCCTCCTTTGATCAAACTACAACTCTCCAACACTCTCTCAATGAATTTATCTTACTATACTTAGTGCCATAATCATTTGTATATTAGTCTTACAACTCCTCTTTATCAGACTATGTATTTCTGAAGAACAGGAAGGAAGCCTCTCAGACTAAGAGTAGAGATCATATATTGAGGACCAGCCATAGAAGAAGGGTTTTCCATCCTTCTTGCATTTCTTCCTCGTAAGTCCACGAGCAGTAGGTACTGTGTTCACCATTTTGCAGATGGAGAAACTGAAATTAACTTGCATGGTGAAAGCTCAAAAAGGTTAAGTGACTATTGAGAAATTTGGGTAAGTGGCAGAATTTGATGCCAGGTCTGTTAGATTATTAAGTTTGTGTTCTGAATCGCAAGACTGCAACTCGCCATCTGGGTTCTCATCCCTGTACCTTGAGTACAGAAGGTGCTCAAGACATTTTAGATAATGTGAACAACAGAGGCTAAGATTATAGTAACGTCTGGCAGTGGCCATGTGGGCAAGTCTTCTGGGACAAAAGGAAAAGCATGGATTTGTAGTCATTAGAAGGCTTGGCACCTTTCCTACTTCTCCATCTGCCACCAGAGAGACTGGGGTAGGCTGAGTCTCTGCCTACGTTCCCTCACTGGCCCATTGTAGTTGCAACCTACGGTAACAACCAGCATGTGGCCAACCTTAGGAGACCTGCCCCTGACCGTGGTGGCCAGGGCAACCTTGTGCACTCACCCTCAGGGTTGTGATGGTGGCAGGATCTCGGAGCCGACCCTCCTCATCTTTCAGATTGTAGCCTTCTGGCCTCTTATCACGCTCGCTGACTTTCCACAGCTTCACAGTTTTATCTGCAGTGGGCAACCAGATTAAGTCAGAATTATAGTGAAAAGCAAGCTCATAAGGGAGTTTTCCTGGGGGCAGTGGGGAGAGGAAGAGGTAAGGTTGGAGAGAATTGCTACAGAAGCTGGCTCACGTAAAGGGTTGCCGTGCATAAATCCCTTGTCATTTGAAGGCAGAGCTCATATTTCAAAACAAAAACATACATTATGCTGGGACAAATGGATTTCCCTGACAATGGGCTCTTAAATCTATAGCGTATACCTTAATTTAGCTCATTCCATAAAAGCATTTATCGAACATTGAATAACAAGAGTAGCGACATACACAGAGCTTACGATGTAACTAAGAATTTTACATGAAAAAGTTGTTTAACAGTCATAACTCTGGAAGTAGGTGCTATTATCTCTATTTTAGCATCTCACCTCACTGACACATCGTCCTTACCATGTCCTAAAAGGCCCTTCATGACCTGCCCTCTCCACTTTCTCCACCTTTCTGACCTCCCTGTCCACCCTCTCCCTGCTCACTTACTGTGCTCCTGCCACGTGGCTTCCCTACGGCTCCAGGTACACGTTCAGCTCACTAAGCCTTGGGGCCTTTGCACTTGCTGTGTCTTCTGCCAGGAAAGCCCTTTACCCTCTTTTTCATGTAATTCGCTTCTTTACTTTTCTCTTGCATTTGCATCCCAACCTTAGAGAGGCTTATGTAAAACCTACCTAAAAATGCTGTCCTCAGAACCATTCTCTATCTTCTCTCTGCTGCTTTATTTTTCTTCATAATACTTTTTACTACCTGAAAATTGGTTGATTATTTATCAAATAACTATCTGTCTTGTCTCACTAGAGTGTAAAATTGTTGAAGGTAGGGATTCTATCTCCCTTGTTCATCACTGTACCACCAGCACCCAGAACAGTGCCTGGCACATAGTAGCTGCTCAACAAACATTAGTAGGGCAAATGAACAAATCTTATCTACCTACATAGTGCATATTTCTATCAATATTCAGGAAAATAAAATGGTAAGGAGATACATTGAAATGCTCCTTTCCTTTTGCTGCCTCTATGGAGTCTCCAGCTGGAAACTACCTGTCTCAGCTTTGTACTGCCCCAGCACTTTACACAACTTGATGACACATGTCATTCTCCATAGCATTGAAACAGAGAACTCCTATCCCTACAGAACTTCCATGAGAACTCCCTTCCCTACGCGTGTCATGCAGGCCAAGGAAATGAGTAAAAAGGGCTAAAGGATCTGTGGAGCTGGAATGGCATGCCCTACATGCAGGCTTTTAATTAATTTATTTATTTATGTATTTTTTTTTAGACGGAGTCTCTCATTTTCACCTAGGCTGGAGTGCAGTGGTGCGATCTCGGCTCACTGCAAGCTCCGCCTCCCGGGTTCATGACATTCTCCTGCCTTAGCCTCCCAAGTAGCTGGGACTACAGTTGCCCGCCACCATGCCCGGCTAATTGTTTTGTATTTTCAGTAGAAACGGGGCTTCACCATGTTAGTCAGGATGGTCTTGATCTCCTGACATCGTGATCCACCCGCCTTGGCCTCCCAAAGTGCTGGATTACAGGCGTGAGCCACTGCGCCTGGCCTAATTCAATTATTTAAGGAGACAAGATCAGGCAAACAAATCATGTCTGCCGGCTTCACCATGTTAGTCAGGATGGTCTTGATCTCCTGACATCGTGATCCACCCGCCTTGGCCTCCCAAAGTGCTGGGATTACAGGCGTGAGCCACTGCGCCTGGCCTAATTCAATTATTTAAGGAGACAAGATCAGGCAAACAAATCATGTCTGCCGGCCACATGCCTTAGTGGGCTTTCCTTATCAGATCCAGTGTACATTTTTTTATACTTGTTTTAACATATCTTTTTGAAGGCAGAAACTTGGTTGCCTTATTTGTATCTTCCTCTGTCCTGCACAAGGTAGGGTTTGGAATTAGACAACCTTGGGCCCAATCCCCATTCTGATGCCAGTCACATGACCAAGGACGGGGATTCCCAGGCAGTGGGTACATAACCCTTCCTCCCTTCCTCCCTTCCCTCCCTCCTTCCTTCCTTCCCTTCCTCCCTTTTTTCCTTCCTTCTTTCTTTCCTTCCTTCCTTCCTTCTTTCATTCCTTCCTTCCCTTCTTCCTTCCCTTCCTCCCTCCCTTCCTCTCCCTTTTCTTCCCTTCCTCTCTTCTTCTTTTATTTTTAATTGAGATAGGGTCTCACTCTGTCGCCTAGGCTGGAGTGCAGTGGTGTGATCATGGCTCACTGCAGTGTCGACTTCCTGGGCTCAGGTGATTCTCTCATCTCAGCCTCCAGAGTAGCTAGGACCACAGTCGCATGTCAACACGCCCAGCGAATTTTTGTATTTCTTATAGAGACGTCGTTTTGTCGTGTTGCCTAGGCTGATCTCAAACTCCCAGGCTCAAGCAATCTGCCCACCTTTGCCTCCCAAAGTGCTAGGATTACAGGCATGAGCCACCACACCCGACCATAACTAGTATTTCTTAAGCAACAAATAGGATTGCCAGATTTAGCAAGTAAAAAAGTACTGAACACCCAGTTAAGTTTGAATTTCAGATAAGCCAAAAAAAAAAAAAAAATTAGTATGAGTATATCCCTCAGAGTTCAATCTTACAAAGAAAGATGGTGCCTCAGTTTCTTTATTTGTAAACTGGGGAAACAGTATCTTCCTGATGGGGCTCTGATGAGGATTAAATAAATCACCGCATGGAGAGTGTTTAACACAGTATTAGGCTTCTAATAATGGTCCACAAATGACAGCTTTTATTAGAATTAGCAAATTGGGCAACTATTCTGCCATAATAACATGTTGCTCTGACAGCTTTAGCTTCATCCCTCGACGATGTCAGCACATCCTATTTCTTCTCTGTAACACTGTCGGGGAAGAAAAGCCATCCCTCTGGGAATTCCTTCCTCTTTTGCCTCTTGCTGCATTCCTCCACTTCTCCTCACCTGACTTTTCACCACCACCTCCCAATTCTCTATGCCTTTGGGAGGACAGATCTTCTAAGTAGGAGATGTGGATCACAGTACCACTCGCCTTGAAGCTGCCAGAAGCAAATGCCTTGTTCTTGGAGGTCTTAATGCACCACATTGTGAAGTGGGCTTTCAGCAGCAAATAAGTGCCCCATTTTCTTGTATCTGGGCATCACTTGGGCTGCTCATGTCTGACACACTGGCAAGGCTGCTAAGTGTATGATTTGTGCGCTCTGAATTGTGCAGTCACCCTGGCTTGTGCTGGAGCAAAAGGAGATCCTGCTGCATACCGAACTGCTTTTTAGGGTGAGAAAATGAACATGGGCCATATTTATACAGTCACGTGACTAGCTCTTGATCAGCTATGGCTTAGAACATCCCCACAATTTTAATACCAAATTTTTTTTGTTGCGTGGATTTGGAATGTATCCTATCCCCTTTGCAAAGTTAACATTGTATATTTTTCTTATCATGAATGATAAATTGCTATACAGAGAAACAGAGAAATCATGCGTATAACGTAAAGAATAAAAATCACCAGCAACTTCTCAGTCAGGGACGATCATCATTAACATTTTTCATAAATCCTTATAGTACTTTTTCTATGTACTTTGGGGGTAGAATCCAAATCTATAATATTGCCATACAGATTTTGTATTTTCTCATTTTATTTCCTTCTTTTTGTTATACAAGTGGTACATGGAATGGTTACTCAAATAATCATATTGGAGTAGGGGTGGGAGAAAAATAAAATAAAATAATAATAAAGGTAAAAAAAAAAACTCCCTTAATTCCACTAGAGATATCTATTACACAAATTTTGTGTTTTTAAATATTTATGTATACAATTATGTAACTGTTTTTAGTAAACATAATATGACATACTTAGTTTATAGTATGCATTTGCCTAATCATATTTATCTATACCAACATCTATCCCTGCAAATATACTTATAGGGATAGAATGTATTATGTATACTATAACATAGTATATATGATTTATAATAGTGAGAATTTGTTAACAGCTAAAGGACTAATAGTAGGAGGCTTACTAGTAAACTACAGAAGAATCACGCAAGGAAATACTATGTGGTCATTACGGTATTTTAGACTAACAATTGGGAAGATACTCCTGTTATTAAGTGTTAATTAATAAAAACCTGGTTACAAGAGAGTTTGCAGAATATATCATATTTCTGTTAAGAAACAAACAGATTTATTCATGTCTTTTTGCTTTTTTCTTTAAAAGACTTAACAGTGGTTCTCTCTGGATGGGAACACTTTTATTATTTTTGCTTTTCTGTATTTTTTTTTTTTTTTACACTGAACACGTACTAGTTTCATAGTGAGAAAAATAAATTCAGTATATCCCCCCTTCTCATTATAGGTATTAAAGTGGAAGTAGAAAATGAGATAAAACAATGTGTTTTTATGTAGTAAATAATTTGAGGGTCTAGATTCACAACTGAATGTTGGTTTTATTTTTTATTGAAATTGTATGGTTGAAAATATATTCTAGCAGAAAGTAAAATTGTTCCTAACTATAATAAGATAAGCAGTATATTTTCTTAGAGATAATTGAAGGTGAATTCAATGCAATTCCCCATGGTTGGGTTGCCTGGAGTCATTCTTGACTTTATTATCACACTATTTTTCTTGACTCAGTGTCTTGAAGCTTTGTGAATAAAAAAGTCTAAGGAACATGTGACTGTTAATATGAGTAATGACTTTTTCTTTCTTCTTGCGGGTTCTCTGGGTAGTTTATCATCACTTGTGGCAGCTTTTAAACACAATCTTATCATCTATCTTCATTTTCTCTTTTATACAGTAATTCCAATTGTCTTCCATTAATTTTTGCATGTTAACCTATTTGGCCTAAGGGGGATTCTCAACCTCAATATTAGTATAAAAAAGAAAATTACATAAGAACATGGGAATTTTTCCTAGAAGAATCATTTTGAGATGCTGTTGGCATATGAAACAGTATCCCAAATGGGAAGATAATATCCTTGTTAATCAAAAAACTATTTAAAAACTCAATTAACAGAATATTATGCTATATAATTAATCTTCGTTGCATTTCACTGATTTTTTTCCCATCCCCCTCAACAAAGTAGTTAATAAGTCCTTGAGGTTTTTTTTTTTTTGAGATGGAGTCTTGCTCTGTCGCCCAGGCTGGAGGGCAGTGGAGTGATCTTGGCTGACTTCAAGCCCTGCCTCCTGGATTCACGCCATTCTCCTGCCTCAGCTTCCCGAGTAGCTGGTACTACAGGTGCCCGCCACCACACCAGGCTAATTTTTTTTTTTTGTATTTTTAGTAGGGACGGGGTTTCACCGTGTTAGCCAGGATGGTCTCGATCTCCTGATCTCGTGATCCGCCCACCTCGGCCTCCCAAAGTGCTGGGATTACAGGCATGAGCCACCGCGCCTGGCCAAGTCCTTGAGTTTTAAATGCAATAATCAATAGGCTAAATTTGATCATATAAAGTAAGTTAGCTATAGAAGACAATCAGACATTTTTCCTCTGCCTGAAGTAAGTCAAAATCATCATAAGTCTCTTTTATTCCGAGTAGTGTTGAATCTGCAAAGCCTGTTAGTGAAATTTAAATAGCAAAAGTAAAAGGAAAGAAATTGAAACAAATTTATGTGGTTTGGCTTCCAAGAAATCAGGATTGTAAAACGTAAACAGAACAATAAATACAGTTATGAGAAAGAATCGAACTACCTGGAGTCTAGAAAAACAGATGAGTAGAGATCTGGTCATGAGGAGATGAGATATGCTTGGATAACCCTAAACCAGTTGCATCCGAATTGTAATTTTTTAGACTTCTATGCTGGCTTTATATTTGAGAGATTTGGCGTTCAAATGCATTAAATAACTTCCCCCTTTTTTCCATGACATTAATATAAGACTCATTGTAAAAACTTTACAAATTAAAATGACAAAAGGAACAAATTGGCAAGTTACCCATACTGCACAAAAATTAATCATGATGAACCTTATGTCGTATTTCCTTCCAGTCTTTAAAAATATTCATATATGTTTGATCACATTATTGACATTTTATTTTTTCACTTGAAATATGAACATTTCCCTTTCTTTTTAAATCCCTTGCTTCTTGCTTCTCGATTTAAATTAAAATGTATATTCCTCATAGATTCACATGTGAGATAAAATGAATCATTCTCCAACTCATTTTCTTGGGAGAGGGTGTTTAATTTTTAAATATGAATCCTTTTAATTGTTATGCTATTCAATTAGCACCCTTTAACATGTGACTTTATGCCAAGTTGTTTTGAGCTTAGATGGTTTCTTTTAGCAAGGATTTAAGAACCTGGAGGTTAGGTAATTCCACTGTATAAAGACTTACCAGTGATTATGTAATTTGTCTCTCTATTCAATACCCAACATCCTCTCTCTCTGACCTATTTATGTCAACTCTTCTTCATCCAACAAATGGTGTTAAGTATGGAGGGAGATAGGGAAAGAAACCCTTTCTTGATTTTTTATTTTTTTGATAAAGTCCCTATCTCTTCTTGCCTTGTGCTCCTATCTTAGAACTTAATTTTTGTCAGAGAGACACACAGCCATCTGCTTTGCAGACCCTAAAATATATTCAGGGATTAATAACTTCTATTCAATATGCCAACCTCACAGAGACAGCATGTTGAGTTTCCTGAAATGTATTCCCAGAATAACATTCAGTGAATCTTAAGACAGGAAGTCACATTCCAAAAACACCTGCAAATCATCTGCAATAGTTGTAAACTGCAGATAATGGGTCTCACGTAATTGGGTCATAAATTTAATATTTTAAAAAACAATAGTTACTATTTAGTGAGGCCCTAATCTGGGTGTGCCAGGCACTCTGCTAAGCATCTTGCAAATGTTATTTCTAAGTTTTTCAACAGCCCACACGGTTCAAAGGAAAATTGAGGTTAAGAGAGATTGAAATATATAGTTTGGCCGACTGTATCACTGAAAATACCAAACAGGAAAAATCACTTCCACCTACCATTAGTAGACAGAAGAAAGTAAGCTGCATTCTGCTGGGGGAGCCATCTTATTTTATTGATTTTTTCTTCTATTTCTAAACTCTTCAGGTAATCGAACTCGGGTTCATGGCTCTGGAATGTGCTGTAAACATTGTATTCACCCCTACGATGAACCTGATTTTTACTCTGTAGGAAAGGAAAAAAAATACACAAATGATTAAATCACAGTAGCCAACTGTAAAACTCACCAACCCTCTTTTTTTTCTAGCAGTCATTGGGGGTGGAATGAGGGCAGGGCCACTAGCACCTCTGAAAAAAAAATATAATTATACACATGAACTTCTGTACTATCATATAGTATATATAATACATACATAGAAATATATTAAAATAGTACAAAATTTTAAAATCAATATAAATAGAAGTTCTAATATTTTCTTTTTGCATCCTAACAGATGCTGCACTCACCCATCGGAGTGAGCCATCCCACAGTGGCATTCGTAAATACTTACATCGAGCCCTTAAAGAGACTACAAAGTTGTAGCATCTGTGACTTTCATTGGCCTTGTAAGATCTCATTTGATTCTCATGAAATCTCTGAGGTAGGCGGGGCAAGGAAATGGACAAAAGAGGCTCAGATATTAAATGACTTCCCCTAGGTCTCACAGCTCATAAGGAGCAGATTTGGGCATCAGATATGCCCCTGCTACTTTTTTCTGTTTTTCTTTCCAACATGAGTGACAAAGCAGACAGGAGCTCAGGGATGCTACCTGCATCATTAAGGAATGATGAGATTTTACCTCTTGGCTTTCCTCTAGCACTGATTATGCAATGAGCAAACAGCAGGGACTACATACATGAGAGAATTAAACACAAGGGCAAGGGTCTGCAGAAACGGGAAGAAAAAGAAAAAAAAGGAAGAGAAGAGAAAAAACAGGATGTGAAAGAAAGAAGGAGAAGAAGAGGAAAGCGGAAAGGGAAGTTTTATTTCAGGTATTTTAGGTCCTTATTACCAAGAGCTTCGAGATGCAGGCTTTGAAAAACTCAAAAATTCAAATATGAGTCTTATTAAACGTTTGTTATAGAAGTTTGACTCTTAATAAAAGGGTTAATTTCCAACTGTGTATTTCTAGGTGGATATAAAATATCCAAACCCAAATCTCAACTTACTGACCAGCGAGAGTGCTGAACCCTGGGTGTGAAATGTATTTGTGCGGACTCTCTGGTTGTGTGCCTCCTAAGAATTCACTCCTGGAGTTCACCCACTGAAGTCGAAAGCAGGTCTGCCCTAGATGACGTCACATGGGTTTGTTTCTCAGATTTAGTGCTCATTTTAATCCCAAGACTGGCCACAAAGCTTAATGCTTAATTGCAGGTTCTTTATCCTCATTGACATTTATTTTTTTATTGAACAAAACTACCCTGCTTTAGAAAATGTGTCCCCCATCATTCTACTAATGAATCAGGCTTCCCAAATATTTCACTAAATTAAAATAGGTGAAACCTATAAATAGCTAACAGAAAATGTAGAGCAGAATATTACTGGCAACATGCTGCCTTGGGTAATTTATGCTAAATAGCTCCTCCGGTTCCTCTTTATCATCACTGTGAACTTAATTGGGTTTTTTTTTTTTTTTTTTAAAGAAAAAGCTGGAAAAGGAGGTTTGAAAATCAGTGTCCAAAAGACTTTAAATGCTGACATACTTGGTACTATCCTGCTCATTTGCAGAGAGAGCCAGTCCACCTTAACAATACATTTATAAGAGTGTTGATTTGCTACCATCCAAATCAGACTGTCAAGTGTGTGTAGTATGTGCCAGACCAATTAGCACTAGGCAGCTCTGGAAAAGCAGGAAAAATTCCAGGTCACGAAGAGCTATTAGTTTCTACTTGCCAACCACATTTTCGTGTTTCCAGGGCCAATGGAATAGGCTGGTTGCCTGATTTAATGCTGAACACTTGAATTTATATGGAACCCCGAGGGATTACGATGCCCTTATAGAAATTAATTGCAAATAATGTGCAATTACCAAATATATCACCTCTAAATGAGGCTTTCCTTTTTTGAGGGGAGGTGTAACGCAAATGGCTTTGAGGCACAAAGCAGGCTTTAAATTGCTAGGGAAGTCTCTTGTGAAACCTTCCTCTCACACTGGGCCTCCCTCACGCTTCCTGAGTGCCCGGTGAATCTCAGAGGCAGGCAGTGGCAGATGGGAGAGTTACTAGAACACAGACTGGCCTGCTGGAAGCTCCAAGACCATGCCAGGGGAGGCCAAGGAAATCAAATTGGGCCATAATTCCATTCTGACAAACAGAAGCAGACACCAAAAAACTCAATTTATATGAAAAAGAGAAACAATTCCTAGTGGAACCCATGTCTCAGGAAGAAATGGGTTTATGAGAGTCACTGGAAGTTAGAACTCCTGCTCAGAAATGGTCGTATATGTAGCACTGAGCTTCAGGAGCTTCTGTGTCACCTACAGTGATACTGTGATGTGTGTCATATGCTTTACTCAGATGCCAGTTTGTGGCCTTTAATCCCTTTGGTGAGGCGAGCTATCATTTTCTTCTCTCCTGTCCCAAGTTGTCCTCTTCACATCTGTTGGCAAATAAACCATGTTTTTTTTTTTTTTTTTTTTCCTCCTACATATTCTGGCAGCACCTGAAATCAAGGGAGACTGAATTTCAATGGCTCTATGACAGATCCCACTGAAAATGGAGGAGTTATGCTCAACAAGCACCCATGGAATGTTGCAGGTCAGGCTAGCAGTGAAGTTGTTTTGAAGGTGTAACATCCAGGCTTAGAAAGATAAGGCCATGCCCAGAAAAGGCTCTCTTTTACAGGGCTTTTATGAGTCTGAATGTAGAACTGCTGATGTTAATGACTTTTTGGCAGTTTTTAGTTTTCGAGCAAAGCAGCAAGGTTAAGGGCGACACATAAGGATTAAAGAACAGTAGGAGGCCTCCTTTAAAAAGAGAAGAAAATGGGCATTTTGCATTCACCACCACTTACCTCCTGCTCTCGTTGAAATATTACAACCCGACCCCCCTTGTCCCCTGTCGCTAGTAATTCTCCCGTGTGGTTGAATTCTACCGTAGAGATAATGTCAGCTGCAAAGAAGAAGACAAAGGCAATTTAAGTAACTGCACACTTACTTTGAAAGGATAGATAATAGACATACTTTTCTGTGCATTTAAGGGCTTAGGGCTTTGTCTCTGCAGTGGAATTTACAAGGATATTATGTTCTGGGTTTTTAAATGCCACCAGAAGTGGCACTTGGGAAGTAAATTTCCTAGATGCCCACACTGACCTGTGGTCTCCTGGAACATCTGGAGAGAATAAAAGGGAAAAGCACATTTAGACCCTTTTTTAAGTAAGAGAAAATTAACTTCATGATGGCTGAAGGAAATGGTGATTTTCTTTGATGATTTCTACCAACCACACACCCTTCATGCACCCATGGCCTTTACACCAAGAATCTTCCCCACACAGGCTTCAGTTGTGGCTATTCAAATCAGTCCTGGGGGCTCTGATGAAGCAGGGTTAGGACGCTTGAAGCTCAGTCATGGAAAATGGAGGAACAGAGCACAAAGAAATAATTGGGAAAACTCTGCCAGTCAATAATTCAAGGAAGGAACTGACGAATGCTCTAGCTTGGCCCGTGCCCCTTCTTTTTTTATGAGTCCAATGCATCCTTTGGAAGAGCATGCCTTATTTCAACCCCAGGAGAAGGGTGCTGAGAAAACAAGGTCACAGGGGCAGAGAAGTGAGGGCAATTTGTACTCTGTATTTCTAATCAGAGAAAATGCACAGGCACCAGGAACTCAGATCACAGATAATTGCTGACGGAATGCCAGCCTGCCAAGTCTTTCTTCCATGCTGGTTACCCCTGGAGGAACATGGACAGGTAAATTACCTATGATTGGATTTATTAGGGCTATTTTTAGAAAAATGTCAGAGGTTAATTCCCCCACAATTATTCCCCTGCAGGGCTCCAACAATTGCTACCAAGAGTGCAAATGAGTTAAAAAAAAAAAAAAAAAAAAAGAGGCGGGGGAATTATGACTATGGCCTTTGACAGGAACATTCTGAAGGTAATATCTATGTAAGGAAAGCAAAGGGGAAACAGTGAGGTGGAAAACTAAGGCAATTACCCCTGAGTAATTCTGATCTCAAATCTTACTCTTATATCATCATTTCAGGATTTTCTTTGTATGCCTGATTTGTTCAGGTAAGTAGTGTAAAATTCTCCACTTCACATATAACTGTTCTTTTCCATGTATGAAAAGGCTCCTTATGGTCATTCATTGTGCAGAAGTTAACAAAAATAAGGTATAAACCTTCGTCACTTTCAAGCTAGACACATTTAAAAGAACAATTCTTGATTTCCTGTTTTGACTTCTTAGATGATTGACCTCATAGATAGCAAATTCAAAGCCCTACAGGGCCACAAAGTAACACAAGTGAACTAGAAAGACTACGTATGTCTCCTTTAAAGGGACAAGTGGCTATTTAGCTTAAGCTGATTGGGGCCATGATTGCCTGTATTGCCATGTATTGCCTGATGTTTTGATTTTTTAAGTATATATAGGAAGCTGGAAATGAAGACTTTTATGCAAAAATCTCTTAAAGTTTATACATTGGCAAGTATTTTTTTCAATGCCATGAGAATGAAAAAATAATCATATCTGTGGGCTGAATATGATTTGTGGGTTATCAGTTTATGACTTCTAGTGTACAGAGTCTTCATTTGGAATAGGCTATCTCATTCCAATACTGATGCTCTTAACTAGAAATCTAGTTCATTTTCTCAAGAAGGCTCCTCCAGTGAATGCTACCCTTAAGGAAACACAAAATAAGCAATATGGTTACTAAGTTCCAGATGTAAGTTTAGAAGGTCCATTTATGTAACCAATGCCCATGAATTGAGAAGAAAGAAAGTCCAGCCAGTGAGAAAGTCAGACACCTCAAGTGAGTTATTTGACCACTTTCCTTTGTTATAGTTTGCCCATCTTAGCAAACCACTCCCATGTTTAGAGGAGAGAAAGCATCTACTTAACATTTGCAGTTGCCTCAGATTGCCCTGCTTGAAAGCACCAGTGCTAAGTTATGCTTCTAACACTAACCACTGCTTCTGACTTTTCAATGAGTGAAAAGTCAAAGGGTTATTCATGGGGCTTCCCAATTTGGGTAGAGCCTAAAGCAGGCATGGCTATTGCTTTTCACCTTGGTCTTTGGTCAGGTACAAAGGCTGGTCCAGTTCAAGGCTCTTGAACTGCTCAAATACTAACATTTCTCAGAAAGAAAGAGTAGCAGGAAATAATGAGAGGGTGGTGGGAACCAGGCCTGAGGTTTACAATGCTCAGCTCTTGTCTTAGAGCTATGTTCTGAGGTTCTGCTTACATGCAGTCTATGCCCTTTCACTGGACAGTGACTAATGCAGAACACTAGAGTTCTGGGTGGGCTGCAAGGGCCTTACAATGAGAACTAAAGATGGGCCTTTCCTTTTGGACAAGTTGGGTATCAGAAAAGAATTAAGTAGCTTTTTCCAATGTGAGCTCTTGGCTCAGTTGCCAAGAAGATGCCACTCCAAGGACAACAACACTTGCTTTCCCAGGGGATGACACATACATTTTCCTTCTTCCTAGACTCTGAAAATGTCTCTACTCTCACTTTAAGGTCCATGCAAGTCAAAACAAGGTGGGATTCAAGTGCAAGTCAAAGTCACATGATTTAAGCCAGTATTATTAGAATTCTGCATTGTGGAATATTAGGCATTGTCCCAGGTAATAAAAATATTTCCTTTGTTTTCCAAGTGTTATTATTCTTCAATGCTATGTCTCCCTCAAGAACCTTGTAAGAGAAAGGGTGATTTGCATGGCAGGATTCTGAAATTCCTTAGTCCTCTTGCAGAGACCTTACCTTTATTTTAATTCTACTAGCCAGGTGCTCTGTACATGAACCTGTTTATATCATGCTATTGTCTACTTCCCTTCAGAGAATATGCCATGGCAGCTCAAGTTAATACTTGTTTTGAACTTTCATGTTTCCTGACTCATTTGTCATTGTTAAGCCAGTAGGTATAACTGGAATACTTTACTGCCCCATCCATCTCTGCATATCTTCATCTATGACTGTTTAATAATTGACGCAAAACTCATGAATCACTCTACATTCCAATTTCAAGATACGGAAACTTCTGATACAAATACTCTTGTGTTTGCAGCATGCTCTTTGGTAAGGCATTTTAAACCGGAAAATATACTGCTCAAGACACAATAATTTTGAGATATGGAAATAGGATATAGTAATAGTAAGGTAGCAAGTTTAGAGATAATAACGTCATTTGAAATCATGATCAACAGAAATCAATTCATCGAGTTCAACACGGCTTTCACCTTTAAATTATAAGTTTATATGACAATTCCACATTTCATTAAATGTTCAGCCTAATCATGCTGTTGATCAAGAAACTACATGAGCATTTTTCCTCTGTTCTATATAGATGTGGATAAAGTACACATTGACTAAAAACAAAAGCCAGAAACAGCTAGAAAGGTCAAATGTAGTTAAGACAATTTTTAAAGGAAACCCTGGGTAGTGTGAAATTTGCCTGGCTCCCCATCTATTTGTGCTGATTTAATTTCCACAAGATGGTGGCCTGGTAACCCCATTTCTAGCTCAATAGGCACTATTAAGGCTGAGCTTTTTTTTTTTTTTTTTTTTTTTTAAATCAATCTCAGCATCCTACAAAAGTTCTAGACTGGTAATTTCATACATAAAGTATTATTTACCTGAATAATAGATATTGATTTAACAGTGATACTCATGTGAGGCTAATGATTGTGAGGCTTACAGAAACAGAGGAATCTCCTAGTTCATCCCTAGTCTCTTGCAGTATCATGCTAGGCTGAAGTCTATGCAATGCCAGAGAACTGAGTTGAGGCAGGCACCTGGATTATTAGGTAATATACAGCTCACATAGCAGGGTGACATTATTAGGTGATATACAGCTCACAGACTGTTTTGATAAAATGGAGACTCAGTTCAGACTTAGGATCTAAACTCAAAGTCTACAGATGGAATATCTTACTGACCAGGTCACTAGCATTGACCTCTCAACATCAATCATAGAGATGGAAATGAAAGGGTAATGCAATTTAGTTTTCAGAGCCCATTAAATGTTTTATCTTTCATCTAAGAAACATTTGGTAGATAATATCATAAAGTCATTTACCCTACTTGCATCAGCTGACTAGTTCTGCCCACTCAATACTTGGCTTTATTTCTGATGATTGGATTGGGTTTTGGTAGTTTTCTCCTTCAGCTAAGACAAGAACGGAAAATATAATTCATAGTGAATGACGATGGTGAAATGATCATAGTTACCAGGTTTGTGTTGAGAAGGTTTTGCGGGGTCACTTCTAGGCTGGGGTGCCAAGATTAATGGGTAATGAATCTGGGTGGGTGGTGGGGGAGGTAGGATGTGTATCATTTGTCATACCAGCACAGAGGCTTCTAGCTAGACTGGCAATGACTACTTTGTGGATCATTAAACAAACGGGATTCTCAGGCGTCCTGATTGGAATTACAGTTGTTCCTCCCCTCCATATAAAACTGTAGTCTGCTTCTTGGGTCCTGGTTCACGGTCCAAAGTCAGCATCCATTTTCTCTGATAAGGTTTACTTTGGTAAGTTTTGGTAACTGAAATAGTGCATTTGAGCATATTTTCCACAAATAGGGGGTTGGGGAGGGGACAGGAAAGAAGTCTGGTTATGGCCAAACCCAAATACTCCTACTGGGATTATGCCAAGATGACCTTGTTGAAAGATGTTAATATGTCATAAAATTTATAAAATAATCAGTCAATAAAACAGTTTATGTCAAATGATTGCAATTTTGTCAAAGTGTTTTCATTTCAGAATATATCTTTTCTTTCTTTTTTTCTTTTTTTGTTTTTTTGGCAGAGCTAGCTGAGGTTTTAATTTTGGACAGAAAAAACAAAACAAAAAACAATTGAATTGTTTTGTAGCTGGAGGCATGGACAAGGGGCGGGGGTCTCCAGGCAGTGAACTCCCCCGCGGGTAGGCTGAGGGCTAGGGCTGAGCCT